TGTGAAAAAATAATATTTCTTAATGCACAGTTTTAATATACATAACATGCTCCTCTGAAAAATGTTTTGCATAAAAATTGGAGAATTTTTGAAGACAAACCAACCACCTGCAGACACCCATGCAAGGGGAAACTTGAGGATTTTGAAAGCAATGTGTCAATTACTGGCCAATAGAATATTAGAATATTGTTATTAGCCGCCTGTTGCTGGGTTTAAGTGTTTATAATATGGAAGTTGTCAAAATTACTTGTGTTGAGCTGTTACACAGCACATATCTATAATTAATCAGTTGATAAATAATTGATTGTCAAACAGGGTGTTAACCTAGAGAAATGAACGACAGCATGAACTTCCTGATATTTCTGTAATTCCCAAAAACAAGTTCTTAGCAACCTAAAATGGTTAATGGATAGCTCTCAGTGAAAGAAGCTAATTTGTTTGCTATCACCAGGTAATGCTGTCAGCTCTAAGCACTTGTTCATTACATGGCCATCAATAATTATTCTAAAATTCCACTCCCCACCATTAAAACCCAAAAAGCACAATAAATGTAAAGCCTGTAAGCAAAGGCGTTTATTCTGGCCTGGCCATTCAAACAATAGGCAACTTCAAAAGCAGAACGATCATTCCCCAACTGTTATTATAGCTACTCTCATGCAAATTACTGTCAGTAAACATGTAACTTAAAATTCATATTTAGTTCATAGACCAAACTATCTATTGGCACGTTCTGTTTAACACTTTAATTACAGTGTGTAACATTTTTAGATCTCTTAGCTCAGTCTTTCAGTTTAAATGGGCTTAACTTTACCCTAATTTAAAACATTCCGTAAGTCAGTTGTTTATAAACATTATTCTGTTTAGTGAATATTATTGTCAGGTTTAAAGGTTTCATTTTCTAGATTTAAAAACTCTACCTTCTTCCGGGCGAAAAAGTTAGTCTATCTTTATGTTTAAAAACCATTAGCAGATTTTCGAAACAAAACAGAGCTGATGGAACGTTCTTATGGTTCAATATAAGGAATGTATGTTCTTCTGGCACGCGTGCATGCAATGGATGTTATAATAATACTGGTACCTGTTTTGTCCCGGGCTGCCAAATCTTTCCCATCCTTCAACTCTACCTCAAGAGCAAAGAATGAGCATTTCCCCGCTCTGGCTACATCACCAGCCTACGAAAAATCGAGCCATATTCGCCATTATTATTTTGTTCACGTTAATTAAAGGGGAAACCCTTGAAAATTGAACGGGGAAATAAACACAAGCTCAAATGAAATAAAAACAACAATCAAATTCCGCGAACGCATTACCAACGCGAGTCATTAAAACGGCATTTTCACGTTCGGGCTAATTTACTCTCCATTTAGCTATTTCTACGATTTAAAGGACTAAAGACAACATACCAGTGCGCCGGGAGAAACATNATTAAATATATATTGCAAGGATTAAATTTTGCTACAAACGGCTTGCCATAGTGCAGCCCCTTCTTCTTCGGCACCTTTAGCTGGTTGAGAAATATTAAATTTGTCAGTAGGTTTAGTAGCATTGCCATTCATTTGACATTGAGGAAGTTGTGGCATGGATCTCGATTTGGCGGCTTTCCTACCACGTCCTGATTTCGATTTCGAACGCTTGAGGCTCGCGAACAATCCCTTCTTCTTGCCTGAATTTGCATCTACGAGCAGAAAATTGCAAGCAAGACACAGCCATATTAACTACAAATATCCTAAGTGGGTTTCACTACAAAATTATAGCGATCGGATAGAAAAATACGAAAGAAATCTAACTAAAAACCTCTGAGGTCCTCGTCCGACATCTTTGCTTCGCTTACTCTGCGCGACTAAAACATGCGCAAAACAATCTGCGCAATAAGCACGGCGTCCGCGCTCCGCGTTGGCGGGTTATCACGCGAGGTTGTTTACATTTCAAACAGTAACAAATAACTGTCAGTTCCCCCAAATAAAACAGCGCTTTGTCTTAAAACCAATTTTTACTAGAAAAGAACATTTTCCATAGCTATTTTTCGCTCAAGCTGTTTGGTCGCAGCGAAGAACAAAACCGGTAAATAATTCTTTTCTTCAAATATTTCGCGTCCCGTTTGCAAAAGGCTGCAGGTTGTAAGTTTAATTGGCATTAATTTTTCATGTAGCCAACTGTGGGCTTTGTCATTTCTGCCAAATGTAGAATGCATCACGCGCTTTCTTTACGTTTTTATGTCAATTCTCGTTATCCAGTTTCCTAGCCAGCTAATACAACAGAATATTATAAATCAAAAGTGAGTGATTTTTAAGACATTTATCAGTTGTCTAGCCGTATAATTTAAGAAAACAAAATATAGAAAACACTATAAAATTATTCTTTCCCTGGCAGCCAACCCAATCAAGAGAACAGCGGCGATAACTGCGATGGTAAACAAATTCAATACCATTTCAAAGCCGAATATCATATTAATATGGGCATCCTGAAATTAAAACAAAACCCATAACCTGAGACTATTTAATTTCTGGTATTTATTTACTCAACGTATTTAAATTTATTTGCAATTTAACATAAGAAAATGTATCGTTTCGCAGCGATTCGTCGTTAAGTACCTCCCTCGTATACGGTTAGTTTTGATGCAGACAATAGCACCATAAGTACTTGACACTTTTTAACTGAGAGTTTTGGAAAAACAAACCCTGCTAGCGGGTCTGTAATGATGCGTTAATGTGACAGAAAGGGCGAAAACAAAAAAATATTTTCGAATAATGGCTTCGTTCATTTTTTTTAATGTTCCATGCGGTTAATGTCACAACAACGCTGGGTTATTTAATTAGAAGAAAATTCCAAGCAATGTGTTCCTGATTTACATAAAAATTAGTTTCCACCAAGCTGGTTTTAATGTAGGGGTAGAATTGACTTAACAGTTTTAAATTAATTATTCTTTCATTGTCTTTTCAGATATTTTCGTCAGAGAAAGGTTACCCTGGCCAAAGTCTACTTTAAATTTCAAAACCTTATGAATGTAATTACGATCAGTGGGTTGCAAATGAACTTATCTAAAATTATAAGCAGCGATTTTAGGCATGCAAGTGATTACATGTACATATTCTAAAGTAAAACTTGATTCCGTTATCTTGTTTTTAATGTCCAGTTTATTTGTGCCACGGGCACTGTTAAGTCATATTTTAAAGGGGTTCAGTCACGGTATTTTGAGTTATTTTGGCCACATACAAAATTATCCTTAAATGGTAGAAAACCTGAAAATAACAGTTTAATAAGATAGAAAAACACCAAAGAGATAATAATAAACCATAAAGGAACAAAGATGGCCAAGGATGGAGAAGATTAACACGGATTGCAAACGATGAATTTGAAAAATTGAGGCTTAACTTTTCAATATGCGCAAACCGTGAGTGAGCTCCTTTAAAGTTGATCATGTGCTAAACTGTGAGGCCCAATAATCAAACAAAAGAGAGCATTTTCGGTGTACTTAAAAATCTAATTTCTGTTTTTTATCGATTCACAAAAAAAGCTGCCTAAAGATTGCAAGCGACAAACCAGCGAGAGGATTGGGGCGAGAACTAAGCCCTCACTCCCATTTCGCACCCAAAGACCCGAGCGAGCGCAGGTTGCCACCTTTGATTAATGGTGAACAGGAAAACCTCTTTTTAATTAAGCGTTTTTAACTTTTCACCAGAAGCGAATGTGCTCTAAGTATATCTCCGTTTTTACAAAAGTTTTCTTACTTACAAGTCACTTGGTTCCAAGATCCATCGCGAAGTACCCGCTAGCGAGACGTCGCGCGAGTCCATCTCGCGAAAGGGGCAAAGGACGCCAACCGGAAGTTGTATTTTCTCTTTTGAAAGCGTTCTTACGTAACACACGCGACAACCCCGTCAAAGCGTTCTGTCCGCCACGTCAAGGAAGGGAACACCAGCTCAGATCCCGATGCCGTCAGGTCCCTAATTGCCCTTTATTTAACACACATTACATTGGGTTTTTTACTTGCATTTTGTAAATCTTTCTCAAATTAAATGTGCACTAAGGAGTTTCGGTCAATATTTTATACTGTACTTCTCTTTCTCTCTAAGAAAGCCCTTATATCACTCCTTATAACCCGACGCAACATCAACTTCCGGTCTTCAGTCACGTTCAGTTTATATTAGTATTTACACTGGTGGCCGCCAGGGTAGAATGCGTATCGGCTGCATGTTTAACTAGCCCCAAGAGAAGTCGCTATCGCGAATAGATCTTTCGATATAACCAGCGATGAAAATGTTATTTAAACAGGAGATCGCAGTCTGCTTAACTCGGTGGAGTTCAGTTTCAACTCCAGGGAGCCAGTGCCGTTTTCGTCTCCAGAGCCCTCTGTTCCTCTCAGGCGGTGAGGCCTTGGCACAAGGAAAAGGTGACTCTGCATGCGACACATGATTTGATTGGCTACATTATTGAACAAAGATTTTCATTAATTCAGTTCAACCATGGTTTCCCTTCCAAAAATATCCACTAGTTGATTTCTGCCCAGAAAAACTAAAACCGTTCGAATCCGGCACCTTCAGACCGTCAGCTTACGGCGAGAATTATCAGCAACGTCCTCCATAACCGGAAATATATGAATGTCACTGACTTCCGGGCAGAATTTTGCTTTTGCCAGTTAAATTCCTTTACATCTTTACATACATTATATTTGCAAAAATTTCGGACATTTAATTTCGGAGGATTAATTTTCGGACACTTTTTATCTCATTTCGGACAAATTTCGATAAAACATGTCGGAAATTTTGCTGAAACAAAAACTTTATAAAAAAAAAAACGGGATCAATATTTCCTAATACGGAATAAACAAGCTGGTTCAAAACAGTGCTTATTGTAAGAGCTCTTTTAAAACTCTGCAAATTAATGAATGGACTGTGGAAACTGATCACAATTCTATTTTCCATCTTGGACCAGGTTGCCATATAGAAAGTGCGCTCGAATCCAGATCGAGCGGTACGGGTTCGAGCCCGTCCCATAGACGGTATGGCCCATATTAATACTGGAAGTAACCATGCGATAGACCCTGAGCATCGCGTCCAGCGGAGGTAGAAATAACCCTAGTCGCTTCGTGTAACGGAAACAGAAAATAAGCACCAGCTAGAATGGTGAATTTCTTGCTGGGTGTCTTCATTCAGTCGCCTTTGCTGAACATTGACAAGTCTTTTCAATGGAATGTTTCAACGAGTTTCACTAAGTTAAGTCATGAAATATTGTGTACCGGGATGGCATTGCTCATCATTTCTTGTATTTCTGTGATAGGAAGCTGACCAAAGCTGCTATTTTGAGCCATATTTTGGGACAAAATATTTGATTACCTCCGAAAAAGTTTCGTTAAGTGACATTTTGGCACTCGTTTTCTCTATAAGGTCAAACAAGAACGGTGCCTACTTTTGTTAGTGCGCATACTTTCTGCGCATCACGCAAGGCATGTTTTAAGCGCCACGCGCGCGTTGGGGTTAACATTGACGCAATCAACTACGCTATTAAGTACACGACTAAAAGAAAGCAAAATTTTCCTACTGTGACCAAATCAAGTTTAATGAACCCGCACTAAAACCAGGAACACCAAAATAGCAGCATATCGCTAACCACTAACTCTTAATGTTTCCCAGCTGAAAAACTAGCTGTTATCTGTCGAAAATTATGTTGAAATCCAACTGTAAACATATACCTGCAGATGGCGTAGTGCGCGCGCAAAACGAGTGCGAAATACGCAAATGTTTCACTTACTGGGGAGGTGACAGGAAAAAATGTAACAGGCATCGTAAAAGTTTTCAAAAAAGATCAATAACTTTAAAAAACGCGTGGTTACCCCCACATTTTATGTTATGAAATGGAAGTGGCAAGCCTATTCAACACCTG